GAGGGTAGGGCAACCTCTCGCAACAAACCCAGCAGAAGAGAGGTGAGATCGAAATCCCTTACCTGACACAAGCTCGGTGGCCGACCGCTGCTGACTGAGAATAAATGATGATTTCGCCTCTGGAGGAAGTTCCCAAACCCCCTCTCTCTGCACAATGGTTGTTTACCTATCGGCAGGGGGGTTTTATAGGGTAAAGACCCCGAGCTACCCAGGAGGATACGTGATCCCCAGAGGCTATCATCAAGTGGAATTTCAATATGAGTAGGAGACATATGACGTGAGATACATTTTCTATTTTGTACGCGGAAATTAGTTCCGAGAATCCCGCTCACCAAAACAAGGATCTTCGGAACAGACCCAATTTGAACATCCCTGCTTTTCCGTGGCTACACCAGCAGGCGTCGGAGATCGGCAATTGCAGACCTGCCGTCCCTCTTAATTTCGGCGCCGCTGGAATTGGAGGGAGTAACTTGAGCCGTCGTTGTTCTATTTCCGGGCTACACGTCGGAAGCCACATCCCCCAGGGGGATTTTACTATATGAGCTTCCACATTTTGATTCCTTGGGACAAATCCCCTCCTCGAAGGGAAAAAATTGAGCTAGGTCATCAAAAGGAGTAGGGTGCTCAACCCTACCATCTAAATTCTGCGAATTCTCCCCCGCGAACAGGGTTGTAATAGATTCCTCCCCATCCAACTCCGACGAGTGAGGGAGGCAGAACCGCCATTGAATTTTTGTTAGCTGTCGTCGTCTCTTTAGTGGGAGTTCCTCAGGGACCCCAATCTCCGCAAAATCCGACAATCGCGATCTCTTCATCAGGCAGCGCCGCCGTGCTCTGCGCCATTCCACCCTCCGGAAAACCTTATCCGGCGTATGGGTCGCGGCAGCAAGGAGGCGGCCACCGTTCCCATTCTTAATTGGGAAGAGATTAAGGATTAAGAAGAGATTAGGGATAGAGATTGGGACTTTGGGGAAGAAGAAGAAAAGAATAAGAATCCGCCGAAGCCTTAGATTTAGGGGAGAAGAGAAATTAGGAGATAGAAAGAGTTTAGGGTTTGGGAGAATAATTCTTTCATTAACATTTGCTTACTCGAACCAAGAACCCAAAGCACATATTTATAGCTAAATACTAGAAAACCTAATGGACTGTCCTAATACGACTCAATGACTACTAACCGTATCTAATAATATCCTAATTATAGTAATAATAATTATTATGATAGAACCCAAGAATTAGGTTTCTATCATCCCCTTCCCCTTGAGACCAACCTTGCCCTCAAGGTTGAAAGACTCGACCCACTTTCCCACGTCGTCCGTGCACCTTGCGCCTTGACTCTTCCACATCTCGCGTTTCCTTTTTTTCCAATCATACTCCAACTCGACTTGGGCTTCTTGCATTAATATCTTTTGCCAGTTCAATTCGTCGAATTTCACTTCTATGGGCCCACCCTTCGCTTCCTTGGAAAATTCGAGCTTCAATAGCTCTTGTTTTGTTGGCCTCACAATCCAGCAACTCAAGAGGCCCAAGAATTCGTTCTTGTTTAAGAACTCATCCTTGATCACCATTTCATCAAGACCTGCAAATATCCCCCTTAGAGCTAGCCCATACTCTTGCATTGTTGTCTCTCTAATTGCTTTTGGGCTCTGTTCTTTAAAAATCCCACCTGCCCAGTCATTAAACCCAATATTTTCTTCATTCAAGTCCATTTTCTTCAAAGAACAGCCCATCCTAAGCCCAATTCGTTCCATAAGATTCAGCCCATAAAAATGCTCTTTCTCAACCCGCTTCTCCTCAACTCTCGGCCCATGATCAGTCCCTTGCTCCACCCAATTAATCTCAAGCTGAGGCCCATTTGGTTGAACCACCCGACCTGACTCGAGCTCAAGCGTCGACTGGCCCACAGTAAGCCTGCTTAATTTGATTATGTCGGGCCCAATCATTGGCCAAAGAAAAACCCTTGCTTCCCATCTCAGCCAACCAATCACTTGATCAATTTGGCCAAATCCATTTCCCAGACTCATGCAACCCGTCACCATCTCTGGACCCTTAGGAGGAACAACCCAAATGGTCTGGCCCAACGAAACGGCCTGCCACTCCGCTGCTCGGTTCAAGGGAGAAGACCTAGGGTTTGCAGGGAGTGGGTCGCCGCCCTCCCTTGTCTCCTTCACCATCGCCTCCATTTTTAGTGGCGAACTCTTCTCCCTCGTCAGGCCGCGCATAAGGCCTTTACGGCCCACTTCCATTGGCCTTGCAGCCCACTCCACCCAAGTTAGTCGACCCGCCCGAGTTTCCACTTGCTGAGCTGCTCGTTCAACCCTAGGGTTGGCGAGAGGGTGGAAACCGCCGCCAAGCTCCTCCTTCTTCGTCTCCTTCTTCTTCCTCGGCGAGAAGAGAGTCCCGCCGCCGTCCTCCTCCTTCTTTCCCCGCGGCGACTCCTTAGCAGTTGGCTCCCAGACGGAAGCCAGCTTCCACCGCGCGACTGGGGCCGCTGTGAACTCCACCCGCCCCGTCGTCTTGATCGCCGTCGCCGCGACTTGGGCTGCCAACACGACCTCCAGCATCGTGGAATTGACCCGGGAAGCTATCACCACCTCAGTTTCTCCTTTCCGCTCGATGTCGGTGTTGAGCTCTGCTAGCGATGGTTCCAAACTTCGGTCAAAAGTATTCCCGACCACTGCGACGATTGGCGAAGACAGAGTAGCGTCGCCAGCCTCCATCGGTTCCTCTTCTTCGACTGGTTGGTGGCTGACGACCAACCAAGCGGCCGCTCGTACCCGGTCGTTTCCGCAGGTGGTCGTGGTCGCCACCCGGATCGGATCCGTGGTTAACGATGACTGATCGTCTGGCGGCCGCAGCGGCGGCGGAGCGGCTGGGTTCAGGAACGGTCCGCTCCGGCTCTGCTGCAATCGATCCAGGAGAACACTTATCTTCCCCTTTTGGGATGCGGTACGTGCGCTGCTCTTCAAAAGTTCCACTCTCCCATGGAGATTCTTCTTCCCCCGCAACATCACGGGTTGGTTTTGCTGCCCGAAGCTCATGCCGGTCGACAAGGATCTCGGCAGCCATGCCTTCTTCTTCAACCCCAGTTGGCGAGAGTATAATGGGGTCTTCAGTAGCGGCCGGCTGCTTTACGGTTGTTGATCCCTCCTCAACCTTCTTTCTCCGTGCCGCTCTCTCTTGTGCCTCCTTGCTCCGTCGGGCAAGAGTTTGTTGCAGTAGCTCTTGCAATCGGAACCACTCTAAATCGAAGAGTTTTGACGAGCTCATTATGGTGCAATCGTCGGTGCTCGCCGCCATCTCCACCATCTGGCCCTCGGACGCCGCCCTCTCCCGCGCTTCCCGTTCGTAGCGGTCAAGAGACGGCTGCAACCGTTGGCTGAGACGAATCCACTCTGAATCGAAGAACTTGGATGAGTTCATTCTGGCTCTGATACCAGATGATACAAACCTATTTCTAGGGTTCTGTCGATTGGGTTGGGAAATTGGGGATTGATTGAGATTTTAAGGATTAAGAAGATATTAGGGATAGAGATTGGGACTTTGGGGAAGAAGAAGAAAAGAATAAGAATCCGCCGAAGCCTTAGATTAGGGGAGAAGAGAAATTAGGAGATAGAAAGAGTTTAGGGTTTGGGAGAATAATTCTTTCATTAACATTTGCTTACTCGAACCAAGAACACAAAGCACATATTTATAGCTAAATACCAGAAAACGTAATGGACTGTCCTAATACGACTCAATGACTACTAACCCTATCTAATAATATCCTAATTATAGTAATAATAATTATTATGATAGAACCCAAGAATTAGGTTTCTATCAAATAGTGAGAAACTTTTATCGGATATCTCCGAAGAGAACATCATGTCTGCGCTGGGGAATGTATATGGAGTTGCCTACTATTCGTGGCGGTAAACCATTGTTTAAGCATAAAGAACGCTATCATTGACTTGGTACAACATAGTATAAAATTTGTAATCTTTGATTTATACGGACTCTGATCGTTTGATTATTTGCTGATTGTCGGATTAATGCAATTATACTGTTTACACCTTGGTGAAATAGTGACGAATTTTTATCGGGTATCCAAAAGGGACGATTATTTTAGAGTCTGGGGAAAATAAGACGAGTCTTGTGTTCAAGGCGTACATGCTTTGTGAGCCTAATGCTCGTCATGGGAAATTTTGCTGTGGGATTAGGAGTGGCTATACGGTGCGGTCCGGTTAAATTGGTCCATATTGATCCGGTCCTAGTCCGATTTTTTCGGGAATATAAAGACCAAAGATTGGATTGGATACAGTCCGGTCTTGATCCGGTCCGATTTGGCCCGGTCCGGTCTCAATTCGGTTTTGATTTTAGATTGAGATTGTGGAGATTTTAGTAGAGTTCTGGATGTTGAGCTCTCTTATCCGATCTTTATCAGGTTTTGATCCGGTCCCGAACGATTTTTTACCTCAAAGCTAAGACCGAATATGAGATTGAATTGTTTATTATCCGGTCCCAGTACGATCTCGATTCGGGTTATACGATCCAGTTTCGGAGAAAACCAAAAAGCCCGGACCAAATATCCAGCCCTACTTGCCATCCCTAGATCTGCTCTTATCTATAACATTACATCCTTTGTAAACTAAAATTTAATTTACTATAAAAAGAAAGAAATCCTGGTTCAAACTCAAAATAAACCAATTGTTATATGCTGATGAAAGAAAGTAGTTTTTTTTCTTCTTCATAATGGAAACTGTAACTAAACAGACCCACAAATCCTAAAATTTGTGACGAAAATCCAACATATGAAGTCAACATCCAAGTATCATTTACACATCCATTTAACTAAAACAAATGGCAAAAGAAGTAAATTATAGGACAAAAATGAGGGTAGGTAGTAGGTACTAAGGAATTAGAAATACACGTGTTTGCTTGCCTGTCAGTCCAAAACAAATGTAACCCTAAACCTAAGCTGCCAAAAGAGAAGAGAGATGTCGTTTACTTGCTTGATACATTGTTCATTGAGCTTTTGGCTTCTGAACCTTCACGTAAGGGAGACACCCCAGGGCATAGACGACTCTAGGATTCCACCCTAATTGCTCTGCGCGGCAAAACATCAGGAACGTGTTCGCAAAGTACGAATTGAAGCCCATCAAGGCATGCCACACAGCATGCCCTTGAGGATTGAACCGCCACTGCGAAACCTCAGCACAGAATATCCGATCCGAAAGCCAACACAGTGTCGCCAGGAATATGGTGGCCACATACCACTTTGCGAGCCGTTTTGCATCCAAGTCCTTCGTGTAGATGTAGTACTTGTACATCCTGGGAATGCAGAGGAGACACAAGACTGCATAGTGCACCTTGAATCCGATCCCAAAGCGCATCAATGCATGGATCATGGCAAACCCTGCTCCGTAGAAGAATAAAAATGTAGGCATTGTACTCCTGTAGTGCCAATCTGGAGAATAGAGGATGTAGAAGTACAATAGCATTTCCCAAACCATTGGTGTTTCATCACCTTGCTGTTGCCTGCAGAAAACTTTTAGCAGGATGAGTTTAAAGTCAACAAAAAAAGCAAATTCCAAGTGACCCGAGACTCTTGAAGAATCTTTTCCTTTTTTTGGTTATGTATGGAAAGATAGAAATAAAATGAATTCCAAGTGAAAAAACAGAACTCAACTAACCTACATTTAGATAGAAAAAACAAGTTTTACATCATTCTACAGGAGACAATGTCAGGCATGGGGGCTTAAAATATAAACAGACTAACGATGGGACCCTAGCAGATATTGATTAGCATCCTTACAGTAGACACAATACCAGTGCAGTCCTCAGTTACTAGCATAAGTCTATTAACTACCCACATGGGAAACTAGCTTGCACTGCTTCACTTACATTGTTACAATCCACCAGAAATAACTGATACTAAACTATACTATAGATCTTGAAGAACACTGGCAGAAGGATAGAATACTTACACATGTCGTAATGTTGCATGGTACATCATACTCCCAATGGCAAGTATAATGTTGGAAATATGCAGCACACTGAACCTCTTCTCAAACCTCTGGCTTAAGGCACTTACGAGGCCGATAAATGCCAAAACAATGCTTGGAACATTTGATACAGTATTGAAGAATTCTGCGATGTACGATGAGTGGACATAGTTTTTCTCACACCAATCAGTTGATGTTACAGGACCCCAAAAATTTGATATCGATTCTGCCATTGACCAACTTTTTGGTCAAAGAATCTCTGTGGAAACTCTTATGGTGTATGTTTTGCTACTTATCTTGCATAGGCCATAACCTGCAAATTTGTTGCAGTGCCAGATTAGGAGAAAAGATAAGATTGATAAAGTGATAGCAAAAGTAAAACAACTACGACAATCACCATTACCAACAAAATCCATCTGGAAAGCATTGAACAAAAAAGAACCGCAACCTCGATCAGACAATTCTGGCATCTAATGACCAACAAAGAATGAAAAACTGAAAGTTGCAGAAGAAATCGAACCAGTTGATATGAATCTATAAACACTTAAGACAATTCTCGAAAATTCAGGGTGCTTCAAGGTACAATTGGATTCCTCTAAGGCAAAACCGTCGCCAAATAAGTCAACAGAATGCTGGATCTAGACTAAAGCAATGAGAATCACCCATGGAAATGCAATTTCGAGCATCAGTAAAAAGCGAATTCCGGGACCTCACAACCCCGATGACGTCGGAGATTAAATTGAATATCCATTCTCGCACGATCTATTCGTTTAAGGAAAGAGGGAAACCGCAAAGCTGACACAACTCTATCCCTTCCATTCAAAGAACACCAACTCCAAGACGACGATCGCTCTCTCTCCTAATGTTCTTCCGCAAACACCAACCCACTCGATTCCTGCAGTTCCCCAGACGGAGACCGAAACGAAATTGAAGATTTCAAGCAGGCAAGCAAAAAAAAGGTACCTGAAGCAGAGATGCACAAGGCCTGTAGCTCGCTTGCACCAGTAAACAAAGCCGAAGACACAAGATGAAGACAGGGAGTGGGGAGCTCTAGGGTTCTTGAGCCGAAGATCACCGGTACCAATTCATCAAAGCGAAGGAGAAGATCTAGGGCTCTAGAGCGAAACTTCTTTTTTTCCCTTAAACTTTAAACGAAAATTTCTATGGCCCTGATTTAGTTATGGAATCAAGTAATTGTAATATCAGCCGTTGGATGATGCATTCTTTTTTTTTCTCGAAAAATTATGATGGAAGTTATAATAGAAGTGAGTATTGGGTTGGCTTGGATCCGAATGCATTCATATAGACTTTTGATGATTTTGGGTTGGATTTGAATTGGGTCTACCTTGGGCTGAGTTCAATTTGGATTGGATCCAAATGGGTGTACTTAGGTCCACATGATTGCACACAAAAAGAATGTTAATGTGACTTGAATCGGACTATCTGGCTACGACTGTAAGTCAACAGTATCTCGTTGTATGAGTTCAATGTTACTTGGGTTTTTGTTCTCGGCCTGGTTTGTAACCATTTTCTTTTACCAAATTGATTAGGGTTAGACCACATGGAGAAGTACTATTAATACTTCTCATACTCCTCTATAATATGTATTTTCTCAAAGTATAGTGAAACATAGGGATGACAATGGGTCGGGTTGGGGCGGATTTTTTCAAACCCAAACCCATGGGTTTATAAGGAAAAAACCCGGAGGTAAAACCAGTTGGGTTTGAAAAACTCAAACCCAACCCGCTGGGTTTTCGCGGGTTCATGGGTACCCGTGGGTTTTTTTGGTAAAAAATTTACAATAACAAGTTTCTTTCAAAATAAAAGTTTAACATCAATTTTCTCATACAAATTAATCATACAAAAAACACCAATCTAGAGCATACAAGCAAAACGCAAATGATAAATACAAATTGTTCAAAATTAAAGATAAACATCTATAAACAATAAGATTAATTGAAAGCTTCTTCCTCGTCAACTAAGTTTCTTCACTCTCCACTTCATAATATCGACTTCATTCTAAACAATTAGAAAGAACAAATTATACATGTCTCCACAAACATAAAGAATATTAGTTGCTTAAGGAAGATATATTATTTAGAATATTAAATATACCGGGAAAGTAATTATATGTGTGTGGGCGGGTTTACCTAAACCCAAACCCAACCCGACTCAGTGAATAGTGTAGCAGGTTTAAACCCGAACCCGGCTTAAAAACCCGTCAACACTGGTTTTACCCGCGTTGATTGGGTTGGGTCGGGTGGGCACCTGTGGGTTCGGGTTTTGTTGCCATCCCTAGTGAAACATGCTCTCTCCTCCCGGTGGACTAGCTACACACTATGTTAGTAAACCACGTAAATTCGTGTGTCGTGTTCGTTTTTGCTTTCTTTATTGTTCCTCCTATTTTCCTATCCGCATAGAAACTGTTGGGCCGCGTAGTTGAGCGTACTTGGGCTTTGGGCCCGATAGAGTCTCGTTGGCAAACAGGCCCAATAAGTGGGCTCAGCCTAGTCAGAAGGGCCGAGTCCACGGGCGGTTCTTGACCAGCCCGAGGCCCGAGAAGTAGCTGAGAGACGCCCGACATAAAGCAACTGACAGTGGCAGAAAAGTAAAGAGCCGTTGAGATACGCATCTGGTGTCAGACAAGACTAGGCATTAATTGCCAGTCACAGGCGGCCTGCAGAAAGGCAGAAAGCCTGCTCAGGACGCCTGACATGGTCTGGGACGCCTGAGCAAGCATTCAATGCCTCAACCACCTTCGAACCAGGTATAAATACAGAGTGAGTGCATTAATGGTAAACCCAACTACTATCTATCTCTCTATCATAAATACATCTCTCCTCTACTTCTCTCTCTAACTTGAGCATCGGAGGGTGTCCCGGGCAACCGCCCCGGACCCTTGTTTTGTAGGATATCTGAAGCCACTCCATCATCCAAGAACAGGCGCCTCGCCCCAGCTCCACAAAACCGCCTAGTACCTACTAGGCACAAACAATTTGGCGCCCACCGTGGGGCAGGAGCGAAGCGCTGAAGAAAGGATGGATGGAAACTTTAGAACTCCGGTGAAAGATGTAGTTGGAGGAGAAGTCACCAGAGGGCTGGAGATGCCAACGGTCAAAGAAGAAAAAGACATGGAGGAGCGAGTGAAGTACCAGGGGCAACAAATCTCCAGTATGCAAGAAAGTCTGAGCCAGATCCTCACTATGCTCCGAAACAAAGATGAGCCGGGAGGTTCAAGGAAACAGAGCGACAAGGGCAAAGGCATCGAAGGGGAGATCCCATCTAGCCCTGCTCCGACGGAAGGAGGGGAGTCCGAAGCAGAAGAAGAGACTGAAGACGCCCATTTGGACCTCCTTGAGGAGCACTTACGACCCGGTTATGGAAGGCCTAGGGGTTACAACGTGTTACACAACCCCCTGGCGAAGAGCTTGTTCAAAACCCAGGTGCTGTCAAACTTCTTGTCGCTGGGGCTTCCCACCTACACGGGAAACTCAGACCCGTCGGACCACTTAAGCGCCTTCATGCTCAAGATGCAGCTGATAAACGCCTCAGACGCAGATCTGTGCAAAGCGTTTCCAGTTACCTTCGGGGGGCAATGCAGAAGCTGGTACGCGTCTCTACCCGCAGGAATAATCGAGAGCTTCGAGCAGTTCGCCACACTCTTCTCGTCAAAATTCGCGTCTCAGCGAAGGAGGCAGCTCACCGTGTTGGCGCTCATAAACTGTAGACAGGGAGAAGAGGAGACTCTAACCGACTTCTACGATCGGTGTAACACCATAGCGTGCGAGGTCCGAGATGTCTCCACAAGCGTAGCCGCAGGAAACCTAAGGATGTCGACTCACAGCCGCGAGCTAAAGAGGGCTCTCATAAAAAAGGAGCACAGTATCCAATCCTGGCAAGATCTAGACCGTGTCGTGCGCAAAGCTATATTCCTAGAAGAAGCGCTCAATGCCGAAGAAGGCGCGAAAGGAGCACACGCCCCGGCTAGCAAGACAGAGAAGGGAAGGAACGGGTCGCCGAAGCGAAGGGGACGCACGCCCGAAAGGCGTACCTACAAGCTCATATTCAACAACAGAGACAGGAGACGCGAGGTGTTCTCTTCTGAGAAAGAAGAAGAGGGACGCCGTGAAAGGGGTAAAACCAGAGAGGCGCATCCCCGGCAAAGGAGAGAGGACGATCAAAAGTGGTGCGACTGGCACCAACTTCCGACCCACGACACCACGGAGTGCCGGGAGTTCAAAACCAGCCTCAAGTATCTGGCCCCTGGGGACCTGAGAAACCGTCTGGACACACGGGCGCATCCGAGAGAAGGAGCCAGAGAAAGAGATAGATCTCCGAGTCCGAGGAGACGATCCCGCATTCCCAGACGTTGGAGGTCAAGATCGCCCAGGAGGGAGCGGACGCAGCGAAGGGAACGCTTGCCACCACCCCCAAGACACGCTCCTCCTCTTAATCAGGGGCGGGAGGAGGAAGATGGAGTTGAAGTCATCACCATCGCAGGGGGGCAC